TCCAACTGGTTTTACGTGATAACCAGGCTGCAAGAAAGAAGAAAAGTTCAAACAGTTTATATGTTAACAGCAATGAAATTTATATGAACTCTTGAACAGTTTCCCTAGCATGTTGAACTGTCTCATGCCTCCTTTATGAATGTGCAATTTGCTTCCAACGGTAATAAAATAGACATTGACCAGATTTACTATGAACTAACTCATTTGTTGCATATACCTATGGGAAAAAAAGGCTGTAAACTAAAAGGACCTCAATGGGTTGATCACGAGTTTGTAAAATTAGGCAAGGCTCGCAACACCTGACCATAATAATGAAGGGAGAAATAGAAAATAGAATTCGTCTATCAGAATGAGTACCACAATAATAAAAAGTAGAGAAGGGAGAAAGGAGCAACCAATTAGGACTCTATGAACCCAACATGGAAAAGAAACTTAGCATGAGCAAGAAGTAGGCTTCAGCCAGAAGTTCTCAGTTTAAAGGTCAAGGAACCTGATCCAAAGTACTCGTTGATGAAAGGCGATGTCTCTTAGTAGAGGATTATATATTTGAGTATAGGTCAAACTGTAAATGAACTACGGTTCAAGGTAAACCTCAGAAAAGAAGCGATATTTTTATCCAGATAAAAAGAAAAGAAAATTCCAGGTGGGTAGTTACACTTGTACCAGAGATAAGACCCAAGCAAAAAATCGTAGTAAATTGAAAAATGAATGGCATGATCGGGAAAAGTTAAATTAAATGTATACTATAATGCTCCGGAGATTGGCCAAAAAAAATTACAGACTGTCCCACCACTACCAACATCGCAGGCAGCAGCTTCAAATATTAAATTATTCTGAATTTGCACAGGTCCAAACAGCACAGTACACTCCGAAAAAAGTACATATTAGTGTTAACCAGCTCAAATCATCAATGCACTATGGCATGGGAAAATCTACAAGGCCCTTATTAAAAAGATTGATGAAAAACTAGCAGCAGCATCGCCCTGATGGGTATTTACTGAAAGCTTTTATATAGACTAACATCATGTTCAATATAAATGTAATTATTTCAATCTAGCTTTCAAACCTTTGATGCCTCAATGGTGTAAGTTATATCGTCATACAGAGGTCCCGCAACATATAAACCATCTGTCCCCGTACTAGTTTCAAGAGCTAAATCTCCTTGCTTAAGTGAAGCACTCTGGCTCTCTATCTCAGCAATAACTCTTATGTGAACATCAGAAAGAGGGGGAGAAACTGATCCTTCAATATATAACCCCAGACGACCAGAAAATGGAGAAATCGGAGCTTGGCAACCATCTTGTGTCACTGAAACCTGATTAAACAAGGTGAAAAATTTTGAAAAAAAACTGACAGTTGACAGACAGACTATATGAGTTGAAACGATAGTCTCAAAACTTCTTACATGTTGTTGTCTTGGGTAAAACAAAATTTTCTTCCCTCCGTCATTCCTGTAGCAGATGAAAATGGAATAAGGACATACAATTCATCATAGCAATGCTGAAGAAATTATTCAGGAACCATGTAGTTGCAATATTTAACTCGAGTGAAGATAAAGATGGAAGCCTATGTTGCACGAACAAGTACATGCTGACATGTGATTTTTCCCAAAAGTAGGACATAAGACACGTTGGAGACGTGTTAATTTAAATTCTTTAAAATTGTGATTTATACATTTTATCTATATGTTTATACTTTTTATTCTTTTAATAAAATCAATTCTTTTCTTAGTTTTGATTTTTGTTCATAAAATTTTTAAATTGGATGCGTAGCTAGTTATTATATTATAATACCTTTAAGTTAAACTATATACTACACTACCCGGGAAGGAAAACTACATAGAACATGTCAAAAAGTGTCCAAAAAGTGTCAGTGATTGACATGACACCACACAACAAGTGTTGGACATGGACCCGTCACACCAGTAGATGTGTCCGTGCATCATAGATTGAAGCATGAGTTAATTAAGGATTATATGTACAAAGATAGAGATTATATCAAGGATGAACTCAACCCCTTCAAATCAAAATTAAAACAGAAAGTCGTATGGATACATTA